ATTTAAACCTTCCAATACCCTAGAGAAGGCTTATTGTTTTCATTTAACAAAGAGCAAACAACCAACAAACTGGAAGTCTAGTTAATGAATAATTATTAAGTGGTAAGCTAGAAATTCAAGTAAAGATCCATCTAACACCAGAACTCTTCACTGCAATATAATAAAATTCTAGCTCCAATACCGTCAATTCTGTAAGCACTAAAAACTGATGCATTCTAACACATAATAAATAAATAAAGTTTTTAATTTTTGTTAACAAAATATTGTTAAATATTATCAAATCATAGACATTATATGTATGTTTATCAATTAATTTATCGAGGGCTTTTGTCATTCAGTTAATTTTTCCATTTCTAAAGTAAATATTCAAAATAACAGTGAGATTCACTTCTAATGCTGACTTTCAGAAAGAGATATAGTCCTTGGGATCAGAGCCATAGTACAGTGGGTAAGGCATTTGCTTGCCTTGCACATGGCTGATCCTGTTTGATCAGCATCGTCCCACATGGTCCTCCAAACCCAGCCAGGAGTGGTTCCTGAGCACAAAGCCAGTAGTAAGTGATCCCTGAACACAGCTGAGCGTGGCCCCCAACAAAGAGACAACAAAAATGATAGATATATGACAGAATATCTCCATTACTGTGTGTGAAAGCCTATAGTTAGGAATTCACCATGGAAAGCCCAATAGTGTTCTATGAGGCTCTGTTGCAATAGTTGAATAAACTAAACTATTTCTAAGTAATAAATTAGTATTTGTAAAAATTGCAACTATTACCTAAAATAATTTTTACAGTATGACTCACCTGGGCTTTTAGTCCCATTTTATGGAGCTTTCGACCCTTGATAAACCCTTTCATTCCATTTTCCACCAGAAAAAGGCTAATGCCATGAGCAGGAGAGCGAGCGTCCCGACTTGTCACAGCCACCACAATCACAACGTCACTTAGCCAGCCATTAGTGATGAATACCTGAAATATCCCAAATACTTTGTGATGCTCCACAATCACTCAAATCCACATGCAAGTCATTATGTGAAGAGAAGTACACTGAAGTGGGCTAAACCAGAATGACCTGTCTTCCAGGGCTCTCTGTAAGCAGAATTAATCACTCACATAGGAGACTACTGAAGAGTAGGGAGGAAATGATGGGTGTTCTGAAAAGGAAGCCTTGCATATGGCTGACCCGGCTGCATCCTATATGATGCCTGAGCACTGCCAGAAGTCATTCCTGAGTGCAGAGCTAGGAGTTACCCCTGAGTATCACTGGAAATGGCCCCAAAACAAAAACAAAAAAGAAGTCTGTATATTTTCCCCCAGTGTTCATAATATAAACAGTAACAACAATAATAATTAATAGAGATGATATTTTTCTCAAAACAAATTATCTATATAATTGATAATCTATTTTAGAAAGAAACTGTAAATGAGAAAAAGAAGGCAGCTCTAAACGACTTTCATGATGTACAGACTACTTTTCAAATGGTCTAAATTAGGAAGATACTGATTAAAGGAGGATGACTAACAAAGTTAAAAGGAAACATTAGATTGTCAGATCACTTTTATTGAGAAAACTAATACAGTTTGAGCATATATGTATAGGACTATAAATATTTATTTAAACTAAATTTCTTTCTTATTACACATTTATATGCCTACAGGTTTCTGGAGAGTCTGATAACTACCTGATGACTCACAGGCAGAATATGTTCTTTCCAACTCCTATTATTGCCCAATGATACCAATCCTGAATTTCAACATATCTTCTCTCTCTCAATGAATGATGCCAACAAATCATTTTATCATTCTCCTTCATATTCAATGTGGCTTCAAGTCCTTTCTAATTTCAGCATTTTCTGAGACTATTATTTTCTTTTAATTCCATTGCCATTACTTTATTCCAGGCCTTTGTTATTTCTTAAATTCCTATTATCTCTCTACAGCTCTATTACCCATCAGAATGTCTGGGAAAACTTTGCAAGGTGCAGCCTGATCACATCACTTGCACATTTGAAAATCTTTGAGTAACTCCTAACAGGCTTCAAGATAAATTACTGAACTCTTCAGAGAGCATATATAACATACAACCTTCATAGTCCCGCCATCTTTCTTCTCTTGCTTTACTTCCATTTGCGGTCCTCAGATCAGTTCTACTGAATTTCTTCCAGATTCCAAAATACTTATTATTCTTGAAATCTTTTTGTTTTGTTTTCTTGGGAGGCCCCTCTCAGCAATGCTAGGATGAATTTTGCTTATGCTAAACAAAGGGAAGATGTTATCTCTTCCAAAAAGTCTTCCTGAACTCCCAGGTTAGATTAAGTACTGGATTAGTAAATTACGTACTGGATTAAGTACTTAATTTAAGTAATTAAGGACTTAATTTAAGTACTTAATTTAAGTAAATTAAGTACTGGATTAAGTACTGGATTAGTAAATCAGCACCCTGATTTACTAAGAACTCAGAATTTAATATATGAATAGATGAAGGTTTTGTTTTGTTTTTGTGCTAGGAATTGAGCCATGGTCCTCCACATGCAAGACATGTACTCTACCACTGAGCTACACATATGGCCCCTTAGAATGCATTAAACTGTATTCAAATAATCTGTTTTTGTCTATCTGCTTTTGAAACAGGAGTATATTGAAATAATAACCACTGTCATCATCTACAATTTATGCTCTTAATATGATTATGGACTAAAGTCCACAGTGCTGACACATACAAATAATGTTAAATGACCCTGTGATATTACATTATCCACATGACAGTAAACAAATGTGTTGGTGAAGACATAGTTGCAATGGTCAGTACAGTGGAAGACCCTCTGAAGCTCTCCCTTACTAGGCATCCTTAAAAGCAGGGACCATTTCCTTTTCACATGATCTATTTTCAATTTTTAGAATACTGTTTGGATGAGAAGAAGCCTTTGAGAATGTTTCCCTAGTAAACAAAAAATACATTCTGCAATTATATTTCAACATATTGTGATCAAAATATTTTTTCAGAGACCAGGGTGAAAACTCAAAAGAGCTGGAGCATCTGCTTTGAATATAAGAACCCTGGGTTTGATTCCTGGTACCAGGTGGTTCCCCAAGCACTGCCTGGAATAGTTCCCAACTATCACCCCATGTGGCTACCTCAGATTTTTTTCATGACATGATTCCATTATATAACTCATTTGTTCAAAAACTGTCTTCCAATTAACTGCTTTTCAAAGATAATAATGACCATTTGTATAGATGCCTAAGTTAAATTACTTAAAGAGTACCTTCAGTTTGTTTCGGATTGCAGAGCATCCAGAAATTAGTACTGCATGCTCTGATTCAGTATTGTTGCAGACATAGTGACTATAGATATGCATAAACATGTGCATATGAATGAAAGGAAGGGAGGAGCAGTGCATAAGGCAAACACTGTTCTTTTTAATGCGTAGGAAAGAGTTTAATTAAGAAATGAAGTTCTCCCACTGTTCCATTTGGACAAAATTGCAGAAAATGTTTATGGACTTCGAATCATTTCTGCAGTGGCCTGACTCAACCTGATTATTTCCACTGTGACTGGTCCATTTTACTAATAAAGCTTTCAGGAGTCAGAGATATGACAGTGGCTAAGGCACTTTCCTTACATGAGGCCAAGCCAGTTTCAATACCTGACATCGCATATAAAGCCCTGAGCACCACCAGGAGTGATCCTTGAGCACATATCCAGGTGGAAGCCCTGAACACCAGCTGATGTGACCCAAAACCCAAATAAATAAATAAATAAATAAATAAATAAAATCTCCATAAGAACTACAATTTTACTCCTTTGCTTATCCAAAGAACATAAAAACTCTAATTTGAAAAGATATATAACTATGTTCACTGCAGTGTCTTTTTTTAGTTTTTGGGCCACACCTGGTGATGTTCAGGGGTTACTCCTAGCTACATACTCAGGAATTACTCCTGGTGGTGCTTGGAGGGATGCCAGGGATCGAACCCAGGTCGGCAATGTGCAAGGCAAGCACTCTACCCTTTTTACTATCTCTCCATCCCCAGCACGGCTTTTATAAAGCCAAATTCTGGAAAATCCCATTGCCCAAAGGCAGGTGAGTGGATACAGATGTGGTCAATATACACATGCAGTAAATACTACACTGTTATAAGAAAATATGAAATCTTAATTTCTGCCTCAACTTGGCTATAATTGGAGAAGATTCACACTATGTGAAATAAATCTGCAGAAGAAAGATCTCATCCTTATGTTCAATTGTTACCTATAGAGAACGCGAGGAAGAAAAAAATGTCAAGTGAAAACAAATCCTTTTACTCTACCCATAGAACTAAACTTATTACAACCCTTAAGCAAACTTAATTCCTCTATGATTTCCTAAATCAGACAAAATCAATAGTCTTTGAGATATTGTTACCCACAGTATGATTGAAGCAAGAAAAGCTTATGGAAGGTTCTCTTTACACACCTTGCTTCCATTGAGAATCCAGTCACTTCCATCTTTTTTGGCATTTGTTCTTACTCCTTGCAAATCACTACAATTCAAAGAAAAATTTATTTAATCATAAAAATAAGATTATGAACGTGTCATGCAAGCATGCATATAATGTCATCATTCAAACTTGTTATACCCTTGTAAAAATAACCTAGAGCTGATCATAGGAGTAATCACATAAATACACCAAAAAACATGTCTAATATATTTAAACCACTCACACTTGTATATGATGATCACATATATTAACCAGTTTTAATCGAGCATAGCAAGACCCAACTAGCATTCAGTTCCTCCAAGTAAGACTCACATAACAAGTCTACTCCTTCCTTCCTTCCTTCCTTCCTTCCTTCCTTCCTTCCTTCCTTCCTTCCTTCCTTCCTTCCTTCCTTCCTTCCTTTCTTCCTCCTTCCCTCCCTTCCTCCCTCCCTCCCTCACTCCCTCACTCCCTCTTTCCTTCCTTAATTCCTTTCTTCTTTCCTCCCTCTCTCTTGGTCTCTCTTTCTCTCTTTCTTTTAGGGGAGAGTGGGAAAGCAGTCCCCACTACCACAAATTATGGAGTCAAGTTTCCCATATTTGAGGAAATTGTAGGGGTCAGCACATCTGGAGTACAATGGATAACCCTTGCCTTGGGAAAACCACCTTTGTGATCGTGGTATCTTCTCTACCAGATAAGTCTTTTTGCAAAGTTCATTTTATCTCTGAAATTTTATGCTGCCATCTACTTGCCTTTCTCTATTCATTAACCTTGATTTCTCCCCATTTTGATTAAAATTTTAAAGGTTATTTTAAAGATTACATCTCAAATGAAAATTTCTTTAAGAAGCTACTCATATATACATTTGCATATGTATGTATATATACATATATATGTTCCTGGAATAAATTTTAAAACTAATACTTTCCAGGGTCAGGGAGATTTCTCAACAAGCTAGAGCACATGATTTGCATCTGCATCCAAGGAGCACTGGAGTTAATCCCTTGTCCCATATGATCCTTTGAGCACTACAAGGAGGACAGTCAGGAATGACCTAAGCACTAGACTTCTAAGCATGGTCAAATGTGGCCTAAAAACAAACAAAAAGAACCATGTATGGTGCAAGGGATCCACCTACATGCAAGGCAAGTGTCTTTCCAGCTTTACTGTCTCTTCAGCCCTGATTTCTGTTATTTTATGTCAAAAACTTTGTTGTAACTTTTTTCTGAATCCCTAAGAAACCAATGTACTTAGAACATTTACCATGAATCTCAGCTATTAAAGACATGACCTCCCCCACTTGCTCCGTTTATCAAACTTAAGCCTTTTGAAAACATGAAGTATATTAAAATAATATTTATATATACCTCAACAACAAATACTGCGTTGCACAATACCGATAGTCAAACATTTGGTAAGTTACATTATTTAAAATGCCAAATGTCTCAAAAAATTAGAAACTGAGCTCCCATTTGACCCAGCAATACCAATCCTGGGAATATATCCCGGAGAGGCAAAAAAGTATAGTCAAAATGACATCTGCACTTGTATGTTCATTGCTGCACTGCTCACACTAGCCAAAATCTGGAAATAAAACCCGAGTGCCTGAGAACAGATGACTGGTTAAAGAAACTTTGGTAAATCTACACAATGAAATACTATGCAGCTATTAGAAAATATGAAGTCATGAAATTTGCATACAAGTGGTTTTACATGGAAAGTATCATGCTAAGTGAAATGAGTTAGAAAGAGAGGGACAGATGTGGAAAGTCTGCACTCATCTGGGGAATATAAAGTAACAAAATGGAAGACGAACACCCAAGAATAGTTGAGATAAGTACCAGGAGGTCTGCTCCACGGCTTGGAAGTTGGCAACAGACACTGGGGGAAAACACAGCTCAGATAGAGAAGGGAACACCAAGTAAAGGATGTTTGGAGAACTCGCTCAGGATGCGAGATGCGTGCTGAAAGTAAACTATGGACGAAACACAATGGCCACTCAATACCTCTATTGCAAATCACAATACCCTAAAGCAAAAAGAGAGCAAAAGGGAATGCCCTGCCACAGAGGTGGGGTGGGGTGGGGGGGATGAGGTGGGAGGGGAGGGAGGGCTACTGGGTGCATTGGTGGTGGAGAATGGGCACTGGTGGAGGGATGGGTACTTGATCATTGTATAACTGAAACCCAAGCACGAATGTTTGTAAGTCTACAACTGTACCTCAAGGTGTTTCACTAATAAAAAAATTTTTTTTAAAAAAATGCCAAATGTGAGGCTGGAGCAATAGTGCAATGAGTAGGGTGCTTGCCTTGCACTCAACCAACCAAGGTTCAATCCCCAGCACTCCACATGGACCACAATGCACTGCCAGGAGTGATCCCTGAACACTCCTGGCAGTGTAAGACCTGAGAACCACTGAGTGTGGCCCCAAAATAAGACAAAATGCCAAATGTGTAGAAAAGAGCTAGTGTGACAAGCCTTTATCTTGCTGTCCATAGTAAGGTCTGATTAAAAGGTTAAATGTTGGTGGGCATTTGTGACTTTAGATCTCAGAAGTATTCCCATCATTTCCAGAACTGATAAGTGGCTCACTGTGAAGTGAAGTGCTCAACTATTCGTGTGAAAAATATGGCTTGTATTAAACACCTGTTTATATTCCGGAAACTTCAACTCTCAGTACCTATTGGTCAAAGGCTTCCAGCTTCTGGGCACTGAGTGACAGAGGAGTTAGTATTCAGATAGCATTTTTCACATATTATTGTTTAGTATAGGAATTAAGCGAGTCTTATGGGAATCTTATGGGAGTCCAGGAAGAGGACTCCTGAAAATGATTCCTGGTCTTCTGTGGATTTTAAGCCAGAAGTCTTTTCCTTTTGCTTGATTTTGCTGATTTTTGTTTTGTATCCTTTCACTATAACAAATTATAGCTCAATATATTTAATGTTGAATCCTATGATTACTAGAAAAACCACTGGGGGAAACTTGGGGACACCTCATGTTATGAAAAATTCCACCTACTTGAAAGAGAAATTGAAATACAAAAATAGGTAAATCAACTGTAGCTTGGTTTTCAGCGAAAGGCTAGATGCTTATAGAAAGCATTAAAAAATAAGATTTTAGGGAGCATTTTTAAAGCTGTATGCTATTGTATTCAAACACCATAAATTTCATTTTGTCAATATGAAGTATCAGTTACTAAAATCTATCCTCATGGTTTATTGATATAATTCTTCTATCAAAGGTGTACATGAAAGGTAACAAAAATAATGACACAGCTTAGTTTGTGAATAAAAAGCCTTTGAATGTATGCATAAAATATTTAAAATGCTTTTAAAAGCATACCACTTAGCATCACCAAGAATTTGGAGCTCTACAATAACACTATTAGAGTTTTCTTTATTTCAATGATAAAGACATTAAAGCTCAGAGATTTTTCCCATAATCAGATAGTTGGCATAAGAACACCCCAGACCCAAAATAATTATCAGTTTACTCTAGGACTTGATTAAAATACTTTATTTCTCATAGCACAGGGATCACTGTTATCTCTAAGTCATGTGGGCTATTGTGATAGACAAATAAATCAATGTGAAAGCATTTTAATATGTTCAGGTATCACAAATACATAAAATTCTACATAACAGAGTCCCCTATATATATGGAAGGGGAGAGTGAAGATCCAGTAAAACCTTAGTCCCTTCCCGGCAAACTTAGCCTTCTTCTGTTAAAACCGAGAAAGCAGAGGGAGAGCTCAAGCCATCTCTGGAAGGACAAGAAATAAACCATGTCCCACTTCCTTACTTTTCCTCCTGCATCCTTTATCTTTATTTCTCCCTTCTACTTCTCTATGAAGTCCTCAATATCTGACTATTCTCCATTTTCTGCAGCTTTTCTCTATTCTTGGGATGGAGCGATAACACAGCGGGTAGGGCGTTTGCCTTGCATGCGGCCAACCCGGGTTCTATTCCTCCGTCCCTCTCAGAGAGCCCAGCAAGCTACCGAGAGTAGTCTGCCTGCATGGCAGAGCCTGGCAAGCTCCCAGTGGCGTATTCAATATACCAAAAACAGTAACAAGTCTCACAGTGGAGATGTTACTGGTGCCCACTCGAGTAAATCGATGAACAACGGGAGGACAGTGCTACAGTGCTTTCTCTATTCTTGCATTTTCTTGCCCACCCACAGCCACTATGCTTGTCTTTCAAAATAATGATTTATTATCCTTTTGTTAGTCTCTCCTCTCCTCTCCTTAAAAAAACTGCCTGTTTTCTCCATTCTCAACTTGTTTCCTTTTTACTTACAGGAACCTGACCATAAACAAGAACAAAAACACGAATCAAATAAAGTCAAACAAGCCTTTGTCTCATGCATAGATTAGGATAAATCAAGACCTCTCATGTTTCTTTTATGATTCTGGGAGAGTGCTCATATGCAATGTGCTGAAACAAGAACATACCGATAACAGAGCTAATAGGTATAATCAGAATATTGGGCAGCGAGCCAGTTATTACCTTAGAAGCAAAAAAAAAATGGAGATAAAATCTCAAATCTCTTTAGGTCACATTCTCAGTTCAAACAGGTAAAAAAAAATGTTTTGTCTTGCAAAATTAAGTAACAGTGTTGGTGTCTATTTAAAGATTAATGTTTGAGAAAGGTAAATAGAACTTAATATATGGCCATATGACAGTGTTGAAATGCTAAGGCATTTAAAAATAAACAGCAATGGGCCAGAGAAATAGTACTGAGTGAAGGTGATTGACTTATAGGCAGATGACCCGGGTTTGATCCCAGAGTCATATATGGTCCCCCAAGCCCTGCAGAGTGTGCTCCCTGGGCACAGAGCCAGGAATAAGGCCTGAACACAGTTATGTGTAGCCCTACAAAACAACCAAGCCAAATAAAATAGCAATAAAAAAAAGAAAACCAAAAACATTTAGGGCCTAATCTTTTCAGAAATAAGTCCTGAATTTTCAGTTACTGCTTCTGTCATATCTTTATGTTCTTCTTTGCACTGTTTCTCCTTAGCTAAAATGTCACTGCTCTGTAACATAAATCATTTCCTTTCCCTTGCTAGTCTGTCAAGCTACTGTATTCTAACTTCCTTTGATCACACAACTCTGGAACAAAGATTAGTCTGTATGTTCTGATGCCCATTCCATCAATATTCATCTTATTCCCTTCCAAAGTAATTCCTGCCCTTCTCTCTAGTGAAACCACAGTACAAAGATTGTGGATTTCCATGAACTTCTCTCAATTCTCAACATCTTTGACATAAACTAACTCCTTACCCCTATGGCCTTTGCAACTCACTTTGCCCTCCTGACAAAAGAATTTGTCTATATTTTCTTCCAATTCAATCCTTCTGTCTCTGTTGATATGTTCTTCACATGATTCCAAAGGAAACATAACACCGAAGGATTTTTCCTCAGTCTGCTTTCATCCTTCCAACTTTATCCCTCGGGGATCAAGTTTTGACTTGTGGAGGCTCTTCCCCCATTCATAAATAACTTGTTTCTTCTTATAAGTCAAACACAATCTAAATATAGCCACTTTTTAAAAAGCCTTCCCTCGTACTCAAATATAAGTTTGATTCCCCACCTTTGACACCCGCCTCAAAATGCACCATTAAAGTAGAGCACAGCACCTTACTTTCTTCAGGTTCTTATCATTTACAATTATGAATATACTTGTTTATAAGTTTCTTGT